TCTACATAAAATTGAGAAGATGCCACTGCTGGGTGCTGAGAACCGCTGGCTGCCATGCAAGGCCCGGGTGCGGGTTTCCCACACGTCCCGCAGGAACCGGGTGCGGGGGAACCCACCCACACGGTAGAAGCTGGCCACGCAGGCACACTATAACCAGGGAGCAAAACCATTTTCTTCTTCAGTCTTTCCAGCACCTTCTACAAACAAAGTTTAATATCATGCCAGCTGGCAAAGTAAAAATATTTAAAGGGCCCAGAGGCACTTTTAAGGAACAGATAAAAAGGTTGAATTTGGAGATGAGAGGCAATAAATTGATAACTGACACCGTTATTTTCTGATACTCCAGAACTAAAAATGTGAGTATGTATATTCACAAACATGGCCCACTTCCCAGTGCACCTCTCTAAGCTTCAAAACCATGTTTGTGGTTGGGGCATTTATTAAGGCTAAGAAAAGGGACAGGGAGAAAAAGAAATAAATACAGTAATAGCATATTGATTTACATTATAAAATAAAGAGACTGGGAGAAAGAGTAGAAAAGATAAAAAGTAACACAGAATGATTTTAGGAAGATAATTTTAAGGATTTTGAAAAAAGAAAAAGAGGTAAAATATCTCTCGTGTATAATGAACAGCTCTTCGGGAAAAACAGAGTTTAGAAAGATTTTAAAATATTTGTAATATGCTATTTAAATTTGGACTCTTTTGCATGTCATAAATAAATATTTAAATTTTTTCATTAATTTGGATATTGATATTGGGTTTTTTCTAGATATAATCCTTTGCTAAGAGAAGCCATATATAGGACCAGCTTTATTTGGGTTACACTGGACTAGAACATTTTAAAGCTTTTTGAGTTCATCAGGTTTTTGAACATTCAGATTTTTTACTTTTACACACCAAAGAATAAATGTAACAGAACTTGGTTTCATATCTTGCATATATTTATTAAATCAACAATTTTCAACAGGTGTGCCACAAGTTTTTTGTTGTTGTTGTTAATCCTCACCTGAGGAGATTTTTTCCATTGATTTTTAGAGAGAGTGGAAGGGAAGGAAGGAGAGCGAGGGGGGGGGGGAGAGAGAGAGAGAGAGAAACACTGATGTGAGAGGGAATCATCAATCAATTGGTTGCCTCCTGCACATGCCCTGAAGGGGCTAGGGATCAAACCTGCAATCCAGGTACATACCCTTGACCAGGAATCAAACCCACGACCCTCCAGTTCATGGGTTGATGCTCTAACCACTGAGAAACACTGGCCAGGGCCAGCCACACGTATTTTTAAAGCATGCAATAGCTGACTATTTAGTCAGGGGCACTGACCTCTTTTCCCTTAGATTGTCAAGGGAAGGAAAATGACAACAGCCAACACAACAATAGCCATCTGGTATGACTGAATCAAAAGCATGCATAACCTTTCCTTTTGTCAGATGGGCAAAAAATATATTTTTTGGTGTACCACAGAATTTTAGCAGTTTTTGTGTGCTATGAGATGAAAAAGGTTAAAAAATCACTGTATCAAACCGTTTGCTCTACATTCGTTATTTCCAATTCAGCCAGTTTTAGAAATGAATAAAAGGCAACCACTGCTTATGCAGGACAAAAATCCCTGGACATTGAATCCTCCCTCTAGCTACATTGAGTCCATGTTCATAGTGATCAAGTTTCATTACAGCTGCTATTTGCTTCTTGGGATAAGCCATCCAGGCTGAATATTGGATGTGGGGATCCAATACTGTCCGTGTCCTACTTATCATCAAATGTAGGTCTAAACCTTTCTATCACTACACTATACCTGCAGCTGTGCTACAATTGCTGTTGCTTTTCTGATCACTCTTACAACTGTTTTCCACATGTTAATTCCTATTTAGTGCCAACTGGTAGGTATGCTCCTTGCCAGACCCCAATTCTCATGACAATCCCTCAAGGTGGGTATTAGTTCCCAACAGTCTCAGAGATTTGCACAAGTCACCAAGCCAGAGAGGATCCAAACCTGTGTGTCTCACTTCACGCTCTCCCCACCAAACAAAAAAAGTTACAAAATTGTATCTCTAGTAGGACTTATGAAGGAGAACTTCCCAATGGAAGAAAACAAAAGCTTATCGTCATTCCAAATTAACGTCATAATGCTTCGAAGGAAATAAATACTTTTCTTGGTTTTTCTTTATTGCTATGACTCATGTAATTGTTTACCGGATTTTGGAATCGAGCACTTGATCATGCTCAGGGTGAGTGAGCATGACTGTCCCTGTACGTTCTCTCCTTTTTGTTCTGAAAACATGAGCTCTGCTAGACGTTGGGAAGTGACATTTGAGTTTTGTTTGAAGGACATGAAGGATGACTGCAGAAAAGGTGGTGAAGAAGGCTTCTAACCATGTGTAAAGGCCCACATTTGAGAAAGGATCAGGGAGACCAGGAAAGACTGTAGCAAGCACATTCGGTAGAAAATATCATTAACACCCAATAAGCAATTCACTTTGGGATTGAACATCGCTAATATTTCTCACTCTCTTACCCATCAGCATGGAATTGTGTGTCTCTCACACCTTCAAAGTAACAATGACGAGAAACCCCAAATCTTCTTTGGTTTTACCTTTACCTGTATTGAAAACAATACCAGAAGCCTCCTTTTCCCTAAGGCATGACACTCTGATGTAGGGACTATTAAATTGCAGAGAGAAAAATAGTCACCACTCTAATAGTGTTTTTGTTTTTTCACTTTTAGCAATTGCTTATGACACGCACTAATTGTCCTTTGGAAAACCATTTCTTATTCATTTTTGGGTTGCCTCAATGCCTTCCTTGTACTCAAGACACTTACGTAAGCTATAAGTTACTGTATTTTAATTTCATATGGTCTGAAACGATCCCAAACTTTTAGTATAAAATTTTTACATTACTTATCCACAAGGTTGACTTGGAAATGCATGTTGTTCTAAAATGTCCTGACCTTCAGGCCTTTCAACCTGCCCTGAGACACAGGACTCCAGCTAATGTATCTGTTCTGTGAGATCCATGCAATGCCTTGAGCAGATATGAGCTACCTTCATATTCAGCAAGTGTTAGATAGACAAGGTCTTAAAATTGAAGTGGCCAGGGAGTCAGACGCATAGATTGTGAGAATGGTAGAGTCCTAAGAGAACTTTGAAACCATTTAATCCAATCTCTCATTTTCCAGAAGAAACACAGGCCCTACAGATGAAGTTGTTCGATGTCACCCAACTAACTACAAGTTTTGTGGGGACTAAAATTCAGGAATTCCAACTCCAGGCTGATATCTACAAGTCATGGGCATATTTTGCTAATGACCCTAAAATATTGTGAGTATTAAACTGTTCAGTAGCAAGCAATCAAAATGCTACAATTATCACAATTGTTTTTGAATGAAATATACGCACCATGGTTTGAGTTTCAGGTACTATAATATATTGTTTTTATTATTTGAAACATGTATTTAAAACTTTGAAGTAGAAATAACACTTCTTTATGTGAAATATTACTTGAAAACATAGATAAAAAACTGATTATTTGTTGACACCTTAAGAACAGTCTGCATATGGTATAGTAGTACATTGAGCTTTTTAATGCATTTGGTTTCTTGCATAGTTTCCAAAATGTTTTGGAAGACAGAATAATTTAAGTGGAGTCAGCTTGAGTTTTAAAAAAGTATTTTAAGAAACCACAATCTTCTTTTGCCCTCTTGCAATCCCAAGAGCTCTGATTGGTTAATAGTCAGCCTTGCTTAAGTCCTATCAAGATTCAAAGCTACTGTTAGACTGAATTTAATAAATCCATAAAAACCACAGAAGAATTTCTTTTAGCCCCCTCCAGCACCGTGTCTCTCCTTAGTCATAGGAGGTAACTGCTTCTGTGATGCAGAACACCTATGAGACTGGATAAGTGTAGGTTTCAATGGTCAGTGGTGGCTTTGTCTCTGTCACGTGGCTCCTCTATGCCAAAAGAGGCAGCTTGTCTACTAGGAGAATGTTCTAAAGTGCTGTACCCTGCGTCCATCTTCAAATGGTCACACTTAGTTCAGAAACACTGAAAAGGTCACAGCCAACAAGAGTTACTTTTCTATCTAGGGCTAGTGAGGGGTGATGGAAGACACTTTCCTTTTATTCTCTAACATCCAGCATCTGCTCCTTGATACATCCTAAGTGAAACCTGAACATCTCCACTGACACAGGTGATCTTGCAGGCATTAATAACTGGTCTGAATTCAGCCGCCATTCCTGTTAGGTAGTTTTTGAGCATAGTTCATGTTCATGGAGGAAAAACTGAGGGAGTAATCCTTAAGCCACCTGGTACTGTGTCTTACTAATATCTTGCCTTTTATGGTGCATCATATTTTTCAAAGTGCTTTCATATGTATACATAGATTAACAAAAACTGGGTAAGTGGTGTGGGAGGCGCGATTCTAAGATGGCCTCCAAGATTTCTGCCTACTGCTGTATATGCCCTAGAAAATCCCCTCACCTTGAGTGTAGGCAGGATTGGGGAATAGGATGAGATAGTCAACCCCATGATTACATATTAGCAGATGAGAGAGAGAGAGAGAGAGAGAGAGAGAGAGAGAGAGAGACTGACTCTCCTGCTGGCCTTGAAGAAGCAATAGCTGTGCTATGGATGGGCTGTGTGTTGAGGGAGGCCCTAGGAGCTCCGCGTGATCCCAGTACACAGCCAGTAAGGAGACAGGAATCCCACTCTACAGCTGCAAGCAAATGACAGCCAACAACTTGAAAGAGCTTGGAAGTGTTTCTTCTCAAGAACGTCCAGCTGAGAACATTATCTGGCTGACACCTGATTTCAGCCTTCTGAGACCCTGAGCAGAAGACCCTGACCAGACCTCTGAGCTACACAACACGTGCAATAATAAATGGGTGTTGCTTTAAGCCACTGTTTGTGGTCATTTGTTATGCAACAATAGAAGACCTATAAAAGCAAAGATAGATAATATTACAACCATTTCACCAATAAGAAGACTGGTTCAGAAAGATGACTGGTTTGCTTAATTTTATCAGTGACAAGACTGAAATTGGGACCTTAGACCCTCATTTATACTCTGGCATTTTCCCACAGTATCCCACACTACTGCTCCTCACTAGTGAGTATCATTGATAGAATTTCTTTACCCCTGACCATAAACAAGATGAATAATTGGAAGTACGATATAATATTTTCCTCTATACAGCTCATTTAAGAGTAAAACAATTATTTTATTAATTCCCATATCAGTTCTTTAGTATAATAAAACATAAAGCAAAATAATATTGCATTAAGTTGACAATATTTTAAAAAGATCTTGAACCAAATGTCAGTCTTCATCACTAAACAAACAATATTCTGAATAGTCAAGAGCAGGAAATGTGATAGGTAATTCTACCCATTGTTTGTATTGTTTCTTTGTTGCGTTACTTTTGAAAAACACTACAAAATTCTTTATTTTGAGACAAGGCAAATCTAAGCCTTTGTGCACCATCATCGTTCCCCATGCCTGGAAAAAGAAAAGAGAGAGCAGAAGGAAAAATTAAATGCACATTAAATTAAGAATTCCTTTTGGCCAAAGTAACAATAAACCCACAGCAATGTACTCACCTGGCCACATGTTTTGCAGATAATCTCGCCATTTGTTTGATAGTCAGCAAACTTCTTTTGCAGGGCTTTGTTTTCTCGCACAAGGTAGAGTTTCCTAAAATTATCAAAAGTAAGAAACATCCCTGAGAATTCACAAATGACCAATGTGTAGCCCATGGGTGTGTGTTGTTGAACTTGACACTCATCCTCAAGCAGATGCCCCTTCCACACCCACCTCTCAAGGGGCATGTTGCCTTTTGTGTCCTCTTTCAAGTATATTAATTATTTTTACCTGAAAATTGTTCAAAACTGTGAGAACAAATATGAGCACACACACACACTGACTTGCCTTGGATCAAAGTGGCTCTGAACCGTACACTTCTCGCTCCCTCCCCAGTGGGGTATATTTGAAAAATGGACATTTGAAATAGAGATATAATTTGGGGAAGGCAAAAGAAAAAACATTCTGGAAAAAATTAATTTAATTGGTACTATTTTGGAAAAAACATTTACAATACAACCTTCTTCCCTTCCTATGAAGAAATTTAAATGGACTCTCCCTGGGCTTACTTGAATTCTGGTGTCATATTGACATGGTGCATTTTCTCAATTACGTGGATGTAGTCTCCAGTGCAGGCAAGCACACTGCAGTTTTTGCAGAGGAAACTTATTAATGATGGGTTTTCCTTGTATTGCTTTGCGATACTTCTCTTGATTTTCATTTTCTTTTCCATTATACTCTGCATCTGTAATTCCAAAATCTGCATCGAAAAAAGAATATTCTATGTGTTGTTGTTTGTTTGTTTGTTTTCATCGTTTCACTGAAGCAAGTATCCTTGAGTTCAGAAACCTTAAATAGTTACAAAAATATACTCTTGGCCCATGTTCTAGAAATAAAAATAATGAGGCAATGGCCCACAAACAAGTTAGTATATAAACCTTCATGTAATCATGAAAATGTAGAACCTTCAAAAAACAACCCAGTGTATTTTTTAAATGTTTCTCTATTGGTCTTAGCAATATTTGACAAAAAGGAAAACAAAAAACAAAAACCTCTCCCTCTACCCACCTCATTAGTTTTAAATGTCTCATAAAATAAATCTAAACTTTCTTCCATATGAATCTCTTTCAAGAACTACACACTGTTCTTGCATTACCCATTGCCTTCTCTTACTTGTGACAAGCCCTTTGTTTCTTTCATTGTTTCTCATATGTTATCATTTCCAGACCTTTTGTTATCTTAGCGAATCTCCTTAGCAAAATCTCTTCTCATGTTTGTGACAGAAACTACTAGTTTACAGTCTAGTATGCATTCTCACTGGAAGAGAACTATAATTTTATTCTGGGTGGAAATATGCTAGCCAAATGACTACATTTCCAGGGCAGTGGTCAACCAAACATAAGAAAATGTTAAGTGGTATTTCCAGAAAGGCTCCTGATGTGTCAGGTTGTTGGCATGAACATGTGACAGCTAAAATTCTACCAGTTATCTTTGACCTTGACAATGGAAGCCAGATGCTAAAAGGGCAGAGAAGAGAGAGAAGAGCCTGGGGTCCTCCTGACATCACAGAGTTATCAGATGGCTCCAGACTGCCCACATTCTTTACGCTGGAGAACAGGCCCTTGCGCTGTGGATTTCAGGCTCTGTGACTAGAGGCGAAACTTATTTTATCACAAACAATCTAGTTTGTGAAAGACACAGAACTTCAGGTAGGGACTGGTCCGTTCTCATACCACGATTTCACAGTAGAAAAACCTGGTTCTTAAATGCTTTACCTCCAAACTGAACCTCTTCTAAATGACCAATTTATATTAACTTGTGGAGGAAGCTGTTGTTTTCCTTAAGACCTAGGGGACGTTTTCAGTAAAAGTAAATCATCACTGCTGATGAGCAGAGCTGAGTGGCCCATCTCTTTGGCTCTTGGATCTCTGTTTTAGGCCTTGGTTCGGGGCAGTCATATTTGGCACAGAAAAGAGAACAACGCCTTACAAGCAAACCTACAGGCCATAGTACAGTTTAATCAGACAAAAGCCCAATTTCCTATGTAATTTTAACAATATAATAAAGTATTCTGTTCCTTAAAAGTTAAATTAGGTTGTTCTTACAAGACTCTTATGGTTTAGTGAGCTGATTAAAAGATGACTTGGCATAGGATCACATACATGTGGGCAATGAAATCTGAATTTAATGTAAAAAATAAAAATAAAAATAAAACCAAGATCAAGGTATGGATATGTAACCAGGACACCAGGAACTAAAAGATTAGCTCTAAAACAGTAAAGTATATCAAATAATTTGAGGGCCAAGAAAATGAAAAGACATGATAATAAATATATGGCAGGTACTGCTATCATCAAAGTCCAAATAAAATGTAATAAGGCAGCAAAAGTTATTAGGTCAATGCCCAGGGAAAAAGTTTAAGATCTCCATTTTCAGAAGCTTTCGGTGATGTATAAACACCATATGAAACATGAAAAATAGACCTCAGCTATGTGTCAGTCTCACCTGTATTTGCAGTTACCCCGCCCTGAGTAAGGCAGGATTCTCAACCAGAGGAAAGGGGCACAGTGACCTACCAGCAACCCCCGCTGGGGGCTGTGGACAGCGTGGCGGTGGCATGTGCCTCACAGCACGGCTGCCCTGCTCTGAGTTGATCCACCTGGAGTAGTTCTAGGAGGGTGTATCACTTGGACTAAAAGGACACAAAAAGGTAGTCCATTCTGAAGTCCCTAAGGGACTATGTCATGGTCTAGAGTTTATCTGGAAAAAAATTGATTCAAACTTGAGATTATTCTAGAGTTTACCCAATACAAGACTTAAAACCTCATTTTTTTTTTACAACATCCACTTGATCTCAGTCATTTAGGCCATTAAATGTAAGGCAATGACTTTCCAGTGGCATTATTCGGCCACATTTGTTTGATTTGACACTACAACATATTTGGTTTGCCTTATATTTAAAAGGGTTTTAAAATATAAGTTTGTGTAGAAACCTGGCCAGGAAACCTTGGAGTTGGTTACAGCAATGCACACCAATTTGAAAGCATCCCTTTCGTGAAACTCTATTTAGGGGAGAGCCAATTCCAATGTTAAGAAACTAACATTCACACCCATATGCAAGGGTGTGAATTTTCTTCTAAATGGATTGTTTGCTATTATAGTACTTACAGTCTTTAATTCAGTGGTATGGGGGATTTCCTGAAATCTTGTAGAAATACTCTTCCATCACTGCACTCCTCTCACCACTTGAATAAACTCGATGGTAGTAAACGGAGATGCAGCTAGATGACATAATGTGTGTTTTCTCTTCATTCAGATCTAGCCTAGAGTCATTCCCTCTAAGAGGCCTTTCCCAGCTGGTCAGTCTAAAGCACCTGTCTAGTGGCTTTTCCCACATCACCCTTTCCTAGTTCTCCAGCACCTGTCTCTAGATGATATGTTTCTTGCGTCATTTCTGTTTATTGTTTCCCCTCTTTAAATCCTCAAATCTCACTGTGTCCACATTCGAAGCTTCATGCTGCAGGGGTCTATCTTTGTTGTTTGTCTATCTGTTCTCCATTTCTAGAATGTTTCCCTGACACATGTCACAAATATTTCTGGAATGGGAGGAAAAAGGTGCCTGTACAACCAGATTAGTCCAAACTCAAATTACCAGGTTGGGTTGAATGGGTGAGTTACACTAGTCTTTCCAGAGCAGGGGCAGCTTGAATTTATATTAGCAAAGTTTATGGCTGGTTCCACTGGAATGGCTTCTGATTCTTTGTATGTGAATCTGGACTAAGCGTAGCTCAGCAAACCGGAACTTATCCTTCTGCACAGTTTCTGTCTAGAGACTCAGCCACAAAGATATCAATGGCGACCACATGCAGCCATTTCAAAGTGCAGACTAAATTCAGAGAGGGCCCCGAACAGTACCTTATGAGCGTACTCCGCTGGTTTCATATTCTGAACACTGTCTATCGCTTTATACATCATTTGCTCTCGGAAGTCATTAACTGTCTCACGTTCAACAACTCCTGAGCCGCTGTGGGCAACCAGGACGTAGGTGCTCTCGTCGGCTCTGGCTCGACCGCGGGCCTGAGAACACAGAGAAGTCATGTAAACGAAGGCTCTGCCTTGCTCTCAACTGTCCCATCTTTGTCCTGGCATGATGTGCAGTATCCCAGCCTTCCGATGCTCTCTTTATTCTCAGTAACGTTAGTTATTACCCATTCTTTCTAAGCCCCCTACTTCAAACCCAAAATGCACTTTAAGGCAGAAACAATGTTCTTGAATGATGATGGTTAGGTCCCCACACTGCCCGTAAACGCCTCAATAACAAATACCATCCTGTCCAGCCTTTTTGTTCCCTGGGGTCCCTCTCTCAAACCCTGGGAGCCATCATCAGTGATTTGGACCAGGGAGGGGTCTCACTCCCCCATTCCAAGTCAGAGGGACAAACGGGGAGAAGGGGCCTCTTTGACCTTGACACCAGGGCCGTGGAGCACGCAGTTCTGTTCCTGGCATCTTACATTGGATTTTGAGCACATTTTCACATGAAAACATGCTCAACATGGTGATAAACTTCTATAGCCCTCTATAAAGTGGTATTAAGGTACATTTTGAGTAACAGAAAACTGTGTGGCCTGGCCCCGGAACCTAACTATCAACTACAATATTATCCTCATGAAAAAATGCATTCTGAGTAACAAACAACTAACAAACCAGCTTCTGAAACACAATCAGTTCCTGATTGGTGCCTGTCCGGTTCTCTTCGTCCTCCATGACTCGCTTTCATTGCGGGATGCAGCTTAGAGTGTAGAACGACCCTTTCGTTACGTTTACGGAGAGAATATTCAGCGCAACGCCTATGCGTATTCAACAGAAGGTAACAGGTGTATTGTTCACATGGTGTGGGTCACAATGGAAACGGGGACACTTCACATGTGTTTCTGCCTCCCACCCATCACCATTTTATTATGAACAATTTCAAACGACAGAATTTGAAAGAATAAGAACAGAAAATGCAGAAGCAGCGGGGCTTCCTGAGGCTCGGCGCATTCCTGCGTCCGACACTAGTGGGGTGCTGTGCTTCGGCCTCCAGGCCCAGCTGGGGCTCACACACACCCTGGGAATAAGGAAGCCTGTTTTGATTCTTACAGATGAGGCCAGCGTCATGGTCCTAAAATGTCTTAGGACACCGAAATAACAACCAAAGAAAAGTTGTTGTTTAAAAATACAACAGGTGCCCTGGCCGGTTTGGCTCAGCGGTTAGAGCGTCGGCCTGCGGTCCAGAGAGACCCAGGTTCAGTTCCCGCTAAGGGCATGTACCTCGGTTGCAGTTTGTCCCCGGCCCTGGTTGGTCGTGCGGGTGGCAGCCACTCGATGTGTCCCTTTCACGTCGATGTTTCTCTCTCTCTCTCTTCCTCTCTCTCCCTCCCACTCTATCTGTACAAAAAATGGAGGGATGTCCTCAGGTGAGGATGAAAAAAAATAATAATAATAATAAATAAATAAATAAATAAAAATACAACAGGTATCTGGCTGTAATATTAAACGATACAAATGGCCAGAGTGCACAGCTCTCTGAGATTTCTCTCTTTTGGTTTCATTGAGGAATAACTGACATATTTTACTTTCAGGTGTGCAAGACAATTTAATATTTGTACACAATGTGAAATGATTTCCCTTTTCATAGGAAAACAGCTATATTTTTAAAACTATGTGCATTATTTTATTAAATACAACAATTAAAATAAGAACACAAAGTAAAAAAAATAATATATGAGAGGCATTTGAATATACCTGGACCATGGCTATTTCATTAGTGACGAGACCGTAACGAATAACGATGTTGCATTCTTTAATATCCAGACCTTCCTCTGCCACTGTGGTAGCGATCAGCAGATTTATTTTTCCTGTGCGAAATTTACTAATGACTTCTTTTTGCTCATTCTGTAGAAACATTTTAATGAATTAAATTTTGTGATGCTAAACACATTGAAATCATCTAATTAGGAGAAGAAATAATAAATCGCAACTGGTCAGTGTAAATCAAAGGATTAGCTCATGCATGGATTTGAGGCCATCTGTTTTTGTCATTGAACAAAGACACGATGGTGAGACAGCATTTGATTTCCAATCTGGGATTATCACACAATAACAAAAATATTTCCATCTTCCAGTCTGGAGGTGGGAAGACCATCGTTTATGCCAAGGAAATCAAGTGATGGGCAACTTGGGAGGAAGAAAGGAAGAGATGAGAAACATAAATGGGCTTTGCTTTTCACTACATTTGCTTCTGAATCTTTAATATTTAAAACATAATATGCAGTGATGCTTCTAAAAATTACTGAGTTTTGAGTCACCGAGAAATACACATTGTACACATTTGGTCACTTTACGAGTCATTCGAGCAAGAAATGTCTGGAATATTCCCGAAGGACACGTAAGAAACTAAAAACATTGGCCACCTGCATTAGAAGGAGCTAAAAAACTGGAGGACTGTGGTGGGCCCTGTGTCTCATTCATTTCCAAAGACATAAATATATTTATTATCTGTTCAAAGGGATGGCACAAATAAAAATGAAAGAATAAGTTGGGAAAAACATAATTAAAACAATTATATTTAAGTTCAAAAAATCTGAATTCTGAAATTTAATGTAAGTAAAGAAATCTCTGCTCTCTGGCCCTTGCATCAGAGGAACGGGTGAGCATAAACCCAGCCCTACATAGCAGGCATCGTTTTATTTTCATAATCCCTCTCATCAAAGCTGTTGGTCCAGTTTGCCTTTGCTGCACATTCACGCTACCTTTTGCTCCCATACTTGAAACAAAAAGAAACATGTCAGAACAACAGTGTGTTCTATCCCCTTCTTCCTTCTCAGAGGCAGCGAGTGCCTTTTTATTTATTTATTTTTTTTTGACTCCTAACTGCTGCAAAGTCCTGCAGAAAGCTCCCTCTCCAATCTTCTCTGATAATTTCCCCTCCTGCACTTGTGTCTGCTGATAAAAGCTTACATGTCCTTGGGTTTTAACAGCAGTTGTCTATGCCTTAATTCAAAGGAATAACTTTAATAAGAATTTCACACACAGTGTTAGACACCCCCCACCCCCCCACCCCCCGCCAAACCATATCAAGAGTTGGGCAGCGCCTCTCCCAGTAAGTCCACCTGAGTTTACAAGCTGAGGAGGTGGGGAGTGTGGAAGGGGGTATGTTCTACATTAGTATGTAGCCCCCAAGTCAGAAATGAATACGCAGCAAAATGTAGCTTGAAACATACTTTCCATTTGTACCTCACCTTTTTTCAAAGAGGAACTGAGGCCATATACAATCAAAGTCATAACACTAAAACTAATATAATAGGAACTTAAAAGCAGAACCCAAAGTGGAAGAATATTGATGCATTGCTTGTAATATTTAACACAAAGGCTATGAGATGAAACTTCAATTTTTCCTGTGAGATTCCTAGAATCCAGGGAAAAGGAGAAACATATTAACTAAACTAGCTCTCATCGCAAAGGAGGAAGCAAACTCCTTAGCCATGGAAAACAATGCTTTCTCTGGCATAAATTTGAGAGGCAACTTTAACATGAGTACACGTAGATTGTATATTGAGTTGCACTGGAAAATTTCAAGAACTATTTCTTTTCAGCAAACACTGAAATAAATGTAAATTACTCCATTGGGTTAAATGGTGATGACCATATTAGAACTGAAGTGTCCCATTGTCCAGCAAGACTCAGGATTGGTATGACTTCAGAAGAACATTTTACTCTAACAAGCTGCATGCTCATAATGTCTACAAGTGCCTTTTTTTCTCTCCCAAGTATTTTTGCTGTGCACATGATAAGTAAGTAGTATAATAAAATGAAAACAAAACAAAACAAAAAAGCTTAAAAAGGAAAAGAAAAACTCACATAATCCCAAATCTCTAACACATCAAATGTCTTAATTTTTCCAAGTTCCCTTACAGATCTCATCCTATGCAAACATATTTTACATATGTTCTAATTATAATGCACATATTTTTTAGGAGATTGGATTTCTCCACTTGATAATTATATTGTAACCATTTTTCTATTTTGTTTCTAAGTTTAAATGTCAATCATTTTTGCAAAGGAAACTCACTTTAGTTTTTTTTATTATTATTTGTTAGATCTCACATGAGGATATATTTTTCCACTGATTTTTAGAGAGAGTAGAAGGGAAGGAAGGAGGGGGACAGAGAAAGTGAAACATTGATGTGAGAGAGACACATTGATTGGTTGCCTCCCGTGTGTGCCCCAGCTGGGACCCGGGATCGAACCCACAACCCAAGTACATGCCCTTGACTGGGAGTTGAACCCATGAATCTTCAGTGTGTGGGTCAACACTCTAACCACTAGGCAACACCAGCCAGGGCAAGGAAACTCACTTTAGAAAGTTCCTTCAAGCATGTGAAAGAAATTACTCCTAGGACAATGCTAAGCCTATCAAATACCACAGATTAGACTGCTATTAAACTCACATTTTACTTCAAGAACAAGTGCTTCATTCCATTGAATTATTTGTGGGTGGTGAGAGAATTAATGAAAACAAGACTACAACTAATTTGTAAAGAGTAATAACAGCATAAGAATAGCAACCCAAAAAGATGTTTATACCTGTGTCATAGGCTTGAACTCACTGCTATGCCCAGCTCCAATCAGATGATGGGCTTTGACTCCTACTTCTGCAAATTTGTCGTTTTCAGTAATCCACTGGGAAAGGGCATATGCACTCTGTCGTGTTTTTGTGAAAATTATTCCTCTTGCTGTTCCTGCAGTCCTTGTATATTGTTCCATTATGGTATTTCTTAATTTGGTCAGCTTTTCATTTTCATATTCTGGGTTTTCAGCCAGTTTCTTCAACATATTCTTGTTATCTTTTAAAAATAATCAGTTTAGATTAGTAAAATATATTAATAATTACTGTGGAAGATTTTATGTAATGGTGCACTGAGATGTTGTTCAACTATAGCTAATTTTTTATCTGTATCTAATAACCAAGCTACTTAACAAATAAATTTATTGCAGTCATATTGACAAAAATCCAGATGACCAAATGATTGATTGTGTTCATACGATTCATATCTACTTTGGTCACATTAATTAGAAATAACCCCAATATAAGTGGGATTTCTTCTTTCAAAATGAAATATTATTTTAATATTTGGAGAGCTCGTGAAAAGCAACAGTTCATACCAAAGAGGTACATGCATGAGACCATGCAATAAATGTCACATTGATTCTTACCAAAAAATAAAGACATGAGAAATGTATCTGTGTCATTCAGTTTCAACGGTTTCTTTTCATCCTTCTCATCTTCATCACAACCATCATCATTGTCACTATCATCTTCTAAGACGGCCATCTTCTTTTCTTTCTCATCATTATAGAAAGTTTCAAGGTGATTATATGCATCAATCATTCGGATTGTGTCATTAATTTGCAGGGCCTCATTGTACTTCCTCAAATGTTCTGCACAAAGACGGTCTTTGCGATTCCCTTCTCTTGCAGCTATGAAAGAATAAATTATGGAGATGAAATAATGATCAAACACCCCCCCCCAATACTGTGCTGTGAACTTGAATATGTTTATAATACTAACTCTAAAACAGGTTCCACCTTGTTTCTGAAATGAGCAAGCAAGACTCAAACTGCACTGTGAGCTCTAAAAGGGGGCACATTTTCCAAATCCTAGACTTGCTGCTTGAGTTCTGCATCAGCAAGAACACATACCTGATCCATGCAGAGAAATGGCATAAATAAAAAAACATTAGTTGCGCTTGTAGCTGGAGACAGAACTATTAATATTTATCTTCATATTTTATATATACAATAAGTGAAAGACTCCGGCAATAAAAAGAAACTGGATAAATTGATAGGCCTCCTTCCTTAGATAAGGAATTTGGACATGTTTATCCATGTCCTACTCAGAACACAGAAATTCCATTTGCTTTCAGTGTGCTTGAGAATATGTGATACAGTCACTTGAAATCTTGGCATAAATATGGAATAAACTAAATGTTAGGTCAAAACCTTACTTACCTTTTTTTTCCATTTGAATAGCCCATTGTTCATAGGGTTGAGTTCCAAAATCTGACATTGGACTCATTTGGCAAAAAGTTTGAATCGTTGTCATTATTTCCAGAAGTCTGTCTTTAAATGGATCCTAAAAATAAGTTATACACTTATTCTATGTTTATACTGGTATAGGAATAACATTACCTTTGTGAAAATAATTTCCATGTTATAATAAATTTGATTCAGAATCTTTGTCTAGGCAAAGTAATACATTAATCTCCGATCACCTCTTTGTACATTTATTTTCTATTGGTTTTTCTGTTAAGAGTCTATATCTTCAAGACACATCCACACCAAAACCGTGTATCACTTCTGGAATTTCCAATTTAAAAATTTTACAGAAGAAAATTAATGAATGATAACCTTGATGCTAATACTTATTTTTTAAAGACGTTAAAGCAAGGCCACAATTATTTAGATAGCCTGCAATCTAATGTTAAGAGACATTCCTCTTTGAAAAACTGGTTTCATTTCAGTATTATACCAGAATCAAAAGTGAAGCAAGTTTTGGGAAATGTGACACAGAAAAGTCATACTGTGTGATTTCATTCATATACAGTTCAAATCAGTCAAAATCCATGTTTGGTGTTAGAATTCAGGACAGTAGTTATCCTCGGGGTGTGATGACTGGAAGGGGCAATGAGTAGTTTCTGGAGTGCTGGCAAAGCTCTGTGTCTCGATATGGATTTTGGTTACACGTGTGTTCTGTTTAAGAAAATTCAGCGATCTCTTATCCACTTAAAATTTGTACTTTCTTATATGTGTTATACTTCAATAAAAAGTATACTAAATGTTAAGTTAAAAAGTTAGGTGGCAGATTTTTAAATATATATATCTCCTAAATCACTTCCAGCGATTTAATGCCAGCCCACTTCCTTGCTAAATAAATAAATAAAATACCCTAAGAATGTTTTATTAATGATTATAAGTAGAAATGTGCATTTAAACGTATCAAGTAAAACTGAATAAAAACAAAAGTGAAGGAAAATAAAGTATGTCAAATGTGCTAATTCAGCTGGAGTAGATAAGTACTCTTTCAGAATTTAAAAAAAACAAAAGGCAAAACTGATCTATGAAGGATGGTCACTAACACTGGTTTAGTGACTACTACATTCCAAACACACTATTATGTATATTTCATCTCACTTAACCCTAATATCCTTATGAGGTATATTTTCAATGTTTACACTTATTATCAAGTACATATAGCTAGTTGTCATGCTTTATGAATTTTACAAAACCAAGTATTGACATAGGTACTGGTCATGAAGTCCAACTGAATATTAGTTGGTGTTTATTATCAGTAAAAAGAGTCATCTCAAAAGCACCGTTAAAGTATTTCACCTCTTTCAACAGCAATGTTTTCCTAAGAAAATAAATATGCAAATTAGGTAGAATTTCCATTATCATTGCCAAGTGTAATCTGGTAGCAACAAAATGGCTCTGTGGAATGTCAGAAAACCAATCCTGGAATTCACCAAGAAAGTAAAAAATAATAATAATAATAAAACAAACTATGGTATAATCCCCCTAGTTTAGCTTTGTAACCTCCTCCCTCCACACCCCACCAATGGCTCATATGTAGTCAATCCATTCCTTTGCTACTCTCATATAAGCTAGAAAACGAACAGAAAGATGGGAGAATTCACAGCAGTGTTATATGGCCTAACATCAATAAACAAGTACAAAACTAACTTTTTTGCTAAAAACTTAAAATAATATTATTCAGATGGCCAATAAAAACAATCTCTACATCTTTCAATTAGGTATGGTATCAGCAATCAATTAAATGTGACATTTTAAGCACATACTTCTCTGGTGTCATCTGCAATTACAAACTTTTTGCATGGCTCCTTTATTTGATCTTTAAGTTGACCGATGTTTTCTTTCACGGTTTTAATAGTAAACGCATCAAGATTGGCACATATCTGGAAAAGAGATATTTTTCAATATTTAAATAATGAGTATTCCCTTTCCGGTGAGCTAATGTAGTTTTGTTTTTTGTTTTTCATGTAAGAAATAGGTAGCATTACTTGTTAAATATAGCATTTTAACATTGTTTTACTGTGGATCTGATTAACCAATAACAAACAACATTTATTCTCATAGAATAACAAGGAGCATCTAAATCAAGTTGGTGAATAATTCCAGAAAAGCGTATTTATTTTCATTCCTTACATTTTATTTTCCAGCTGGAAAAACTGATATAGAAAGAGCATCATAGCTTGCAGAGATTAGCAGAGAATGTTAATGAGAAAACCATATTACATGATGCATTTTAAAGGTCATTTTGGCATCCATGGATCATATTACCACTTTCTTCTACAGAGTGAAAAACTAGGAGCAGCTGAGGCCCAAGTGCCTGATCTAGATTAGAACTTGTCTTTAATCCCAATAATAAAATATATCTTGGGGCCAATAATTGTACCTTTGTCTACCCTAAATATTTTGATTGAATTCAACTTAAAATAAGGGACTTAAAATACAAATGAAATTGCTTTGATGCCAACACACTTTTTGCATTACTTTGAATTCGTTTAACATTTGAGATCAACTAACAGTACCTTATGTGTTGTTACCATTATGGGGCCGCTGATGAGTAATATATTTTTAATTATAGATTTGCATACCGCCATTTTCCCATTTCCTTTGAATTACCCAGAATCTCTCACACAGAACAAAAAAGGTAGTAGAAAATACGAAATTTTGAAATTCATTGAGTATGAGCATTAGAAACGTTCATAGTTGTATGCATATTTTAATATCAAATAAATCATTAACTTTACAATAGGAGGAGATATTTATGTATTTATTTTAATTTTTTTTCTTCATTGATTTGAGAGAGAGAGGACACTGATGAGAGAGAACATCGATAGGCTGCCTCTTGCATGCTCTCTACTGGGAATTTGGCCCACAACCTGGGCATGTGACCTGATCAGGAATTGAACTGGTGACCTCCTGGTGTATGGGTCGATGCTCAACCACTGAGCCACACTGGCTGGGCAGGAGGAGATATTTATTTATTTATTTTTTGTACGTGCCCCTAGTGGGAACTGAACCCAGGACTCTCTGGTCTGCAGGCTGTCCAACCACTGAGCCAAACTGGTCAGGGCAGGAGGAGATATTTAAAAGAAAGTATTTAGTTTATCTCTTCCTGTTACCCTCCCTTCCCATGCCCATTCCCTCTGAGGCTTGTCAGTCTGTTCCCTTCTTCCATGTCTCTGGATCTATTTTGTTCATCAGCTTGTTTTGTTCATTATATTCCACAAATAAGTGAGATAATGTGGTATTTGTCTTTCTCTGACTGGCTTATTTTGCTTAGCCTAATACTCTCCGAGTCCCTCCATGTCATCTCAAAGGGTAAGAGATCTCTCTTTCTTACAGCTGCATAGTGTTCCATTGTGTATATGTACCACAGCTTTTTCATCCACTCCTCTACTGATGGACACTCGGGCTGTTTCCAGATCTTATTTATTGGGTAGGGGGAAAGGTTGATGGACAAAATGGAAGACTTCTGTAATACTTTCAACAATAAAGATTTTAAAAAGAAGGAATTTGATTTGACCCCACTTTTCATTAATTGTATCAGCTTTCCATAATCCTTGTAATTTGTTCTGTTATAGTTGTTTATTAAGGCATATTACTGTTTTGTAGAAAATTGAATATACTTACTTTAACTAGAGCAAATAGATTTCACTTAACTGATGATCCCGGAATACTTTCTGTAATGCATTTGATGGCAGTTGAACCTGACTTTACTTAAAAAGCCCAAGAAATACTGGTATTATTTTAAACATTGGTTTTCTTTTTTATACATAAAGTTAATGACTTACTTTTAAAATGTGTTCTTCAGCTTTGGCTTGCTTGGTGGCTCCTCCAACACCCGGTGAGGCTGTTAGTCCCAGGATCTGAGGAAGGGGAATCACTGGCTTGTTTTCTTTCTTGAGCTTATCATTTTTCAACTTCTGTTTCAAATAACGCCTCATGATGTTATTATAGACAGCCTCTTTGTTGGTGTGATGACATTCATCAATGATGATGAGGGAAAAGTCTTAAAAGAAAATTCAAATGGTTCATTTGTCCAGCAAGGTAAAGAAAAACAAACAAACTAACCAACAATAACCTTTACGCTAGTAAAAGGAGCTATCATGGGGATGTCATTTCATGGTCAGAGTACCTGCACTACTCTCTTTCACTTTTTTTTATTTTAATTAATATAGAATTTTTTTTATTAATTAATTTTTGTTACAGATGTTTCTCCTTTTCCCCCCACTGATTCCCCCCTCCCCCTCCCTCCCTGCCCTGTCCCCAGCTTTGCTGTCCATGTCCACTGTTCATGCAAACATGCATATAAGTTCTGTGGTTTATCTCTCTGGAAACAGCCCAAGTGTCCATCAGTAGATGAATGGTAAAAAAGCTGTGGTACATATACACAATGGAGTACTACGCAGCTGTAAGAAAGAAAGATCTCTTATCCTTTGAGACTACATGGAAGGACCTGGAAAGTATCATCCTAAGTGAAACAAGCCAAACAGAGAAAGACAAGTATCATATGATCTCTTTCACTTTTTAAAACTAGTCTAGTCCTGGCCAGTTTGGCTCAGTGGTTGAGTCCCGGGTTCAGTTCCTGCTAGGGGCACGTACCACTAAAAAAAAAAAAAACAAACAAAAAAAACTAGTCTAGTCACCTGTACAAAAGTTTAAGTATGTTAATCATGAAACTATTCTTGTTAGATATTATCTCTAGTTAATAAATGAGTTTGAAAAGTTTATAGACCTAAAGAGTGTTATGGGATGAAATTCAAATCCAGGCTTATTGTCCAAAATTCTCAGGATTACACTTTTGTTCTTTAATATAATGTTTAATTTTAAGAGGTGAATTTTACATTTATTATAGCAAATAAAAACTACACTATTTAAAGAGAAAAATTTTGGCATGTCTTACCATTGCATTTCATTATTATGGTTATTTGTACTTATTTCCCTTCTTCTCTCCTACCTTCTCTTCTAATTCCTCGCAAAAGAGAAAAGATTGTATATTTGTTCAATGGAGCAGAAGGCAGATCTAACAGGACACACTGGCATATACAAAGAACTTCTCAGTACTTAGAATTAAGAAGTAAATGGAAAGTATAGTGATCATTTGATGTAATGATAATATTCTTATGTAGAACAGTGATCTAGTTAAAAACCTCTTCAGATTTTTTGTTTCCCCAAAGAACGAAAAGCCTCTTAATGAAAATTTAAACAATAAAGGACAATATAAACCAAAGTTAATCTTTTTAAATCAACATTTACACAGCCTCTATTATTAACATTAATATTAATACTAACTCTTTTTTCATAAACACTTCAACCAACCTGACAACTGGACACCATCGTCTTCTCCTTTTTCTGAGTTTAAAAGGGAGTTTTCAAGGATTTGAGCTGTGCTGATAATAACATCATAGGATTTGACAAATTTAGGAAATGATATTTTCAATTGGGTATCACCACTTAATCTTGTAATGTTATACCATTTCTTCAAAAATGGTTGAAACTCTTTGCGGAAGAGCTGTTCAACTAATGGTACCTTTAAAAATGCCAAAAGTAAAAAACAAATAAAATAAAATAAAAAGAGAGATCATTGTCAAAGCAAAAGGAGTATTGATCAAAGGCTTACTATGTGTCAAGTATTAACAAAGGTGGTTACCTTATCAGTTAATTAGGCATAACAACCTATTCATCATTCCATTCATTCATCTCTCAATAAGCACAACGGTGTTTAATATATGGTTCACAACTTTCAGAAACAGTCTAGCTGAGCGCACAGACCAAGACTAAAAACAAAACAAATTAATACAACACCACGCAATAATTCTCCTGTGGAAACACATTTAAAGTGACAGCAGAGAAGAAGTAACTGACTGCTCAAAAGAAGGGCTTAAGAGGTATTTTAATCTTGTAAACCATGGGCCAGTGAAGAGACAAATTGAAACTAAGGTTGGATAAGAAATACATTTTGAGTTGGTAGAGAAGGGCCAGGCTAAAAATGGCTGTGAACACCAGAGTATTTTAAATTTAGTGTAACAGTTCACACAGGACCCTGCTGAGTTGTGCACATTTAGGGTTGATTTATTACTGTTGTTTGCCTTGGGATCAGGCCAGAGGCAACAAACCTGAAGAAGTGGAGCAGGGAGCAAAGAATGAGAGGTAAGGCATTGCCTGGGGAGTGGATGTGAGGTGAGGAATGGACTGCTGGAATGGCTTTGGTGGCTGAGAAAGAACCAAACAACAAAAAGAGTTGGCAGCAAAGGTGAAAGTCCTTCCGAGACAACTGGCATAGTCTCGTGACAGTGTGCCGGGGTTAAGGTGACTTGACCTGATTGGTGATTTATGGTATCTTTGAATTCACTGACAAGTTAAGATGCAAATCTTCTCAAGACCCCGACCTGCAAGACCATCACCATGAAGTGATGCCATGGATAATGTGAGATCCAGGGCCAGGATGAAGAAGGCATCCCCGGCCTGGCCAGCAGAGGCTCATCTTTGCTGGCAAGCAAAGTTGGAAGATGGTCTCACTCTTTAAGACTACAACCTCCAGAGTCAACCCTGCACCTGCTCCTCCGAGGAGTGGTTGTATTCTTACGATAAAATAAGCTAAAGAAAAAAAAAGTTCTTAAGAAAAGCATAAGGAAGAGAAATACATTTACAGTATTTATTGAAAAAAAAAAAAAATCAGTGTATAAGTGGACCCGCACAGTTCAATCTCATGTTCTTCAAGGGTCAACTATATTTTTTTCATTCCACTTATACAAGACAGAGGTGATCATCTAAGAAGGAAGTATTCTAAGGAAGAGAATGGGAATTATATGTAGCATAAAGAGAGTGCAACCCAGAGGGAAGACAGGCAGCTCTGAAAACAACTACTGTAGCTACCTGCTTATTGTGTGACCGTGGACAAGTTACTTAAGCATCTCAATTTCCACATGAAGAAAGTGAGGATAATGTTAACCTGTGGTGGGTGTTGTGAAAAAGTAAATGAAATAACGGCTGACATACTGCTGGTACTCAGAAAAAAATTCCCTGATATTTCACCCATTCTTTGACTCTAGCAGTGAGTGTGGTAGAAAGGGACCAGTTGACTTCGGAAGAGAAGAGTTCCAGTCTCAGTTCTGCTGATTATTGGCTGGATGATCCCTGACAGGTTAATTAAAGCCTGAGCCTCAGCTTTCTGATGGGTAAGAAGGGGATAGTTGTGGTTACTTCAAAGAATAGCTGTGTGGTTTTAATGAGATAATGTAAAGTACAATCCAGTATTATTATATTATTAATACATATCTTTCATGCCCTAGACTGTAGATTCCGTGGGGACTGGATCAGCATTTCATTGGTCTTTAAATACCCTCATGCTACTGAATGATTTAAGAATCTTTATTACATGAAGTGACATAGGGACCTGAGGTTCTGTCCATAAAGGGTGAGTCAAAGAAGCAGCATCTTCTCAACTACAGAACAAAAAGAAGCTGTCACGGAGGTAGCAGGTGTTGGAAATCCTGATACTCACTCTGGGTGGCATTGACTTCCCGTTGAAGGACAAGAGAAAGCCAGGTGCAAGTCTGACATGGCTAATTGGGAGGTGTGTGGTCCTTTTGGAGCCATTTCCTGAGATGTGACAGAGTGCCTGCCAAGACTAATCAAACCCAACTGCTACTCACTTCTGCTGAATCAGATGGGGCTGCATCGCAGCATCTGAGGGAACCTGGGATTTATCTCTCATGATGTTGAAGCCCTAGATAGGAAATAGAAAGTCTGGAAACACAGGTGGTGTTTTCATTTCTCCCTGCATTTGAAGGCGATAACTTTGGAAAGGATGGAGAAAGGGAGATGAAAGTAAATGGTATTAGGGAACAGGATTTTTCCTTTCTAGATCAAGGGTTATAATAGCTTGTTCTTGGGCCAAATATAGAACGAAGGTTAGGTTGACTTACTAGGCCAGAGATTTCCTGACTCATTCAAAAAGACTTAAAGCTGAAATTACTTTAAAATTAAAGAAATGGGATAATGAAGAAAAAAATTATGACATAAATGGAAGTACTAATGAAGAAATTTTTAGTAATTCTTAGGGAAAAACAGTAAGGAAGAAGATCATGAATTAGATTAAAGTCCTTAAATAACTATACAACATTGCAATTGATATGAATAATTAATGAGGATAATTTAATGTTTAAACATTGCTGAAAATTTGAATTAATAAGAATCAACTATGCCTTGGCTAGTGTGGCTTAGTTGGTTGAGTGCTAACCTATGCACCAAGAGGTTGCCAGTTTGATTCCTGGTCAGGGTGCATGCCCAGGTTGGGGGCTCAATCTCCAGTCGGGAACATGCAAGAAGCAACCAATCAATGTTTCACTTTCATGATGCTGATTTTCTTTCTCTCTCCCTCTCCATTTCTCTCTCTCTAAAAATCAATAAAAAATCTTTAAAAAAATAAAATAAAAAGAATCATGTAGATCACCTAGATCCAGTGGGGTGAAAGATTTGTGACAAGATTTAACATGACAGGACAAGTAATTATTACAAAAAGAAAAGTGCATCTGATGCATACAAAAACACAAGACCTGAAATGAACAATCAACATAATGATATGAAGAAATACACATAAGTAATTATTTTTAAGCTCAAAAATTAACTGCACAAACATAACTTAGCAGGTCTAGTTTAACAGCTTTTTTTCAAATAAATTTAGGCTTCTTAGATTATAGCAAGCACCAGATGAGTCTGTGGGTGACCAAGGCAGATTCAGTCATGGGCTAAGTGTCACATCTCATCTCTCCTAAACTCTGCACTGTAAGACTATGTCTATAGTATTCTGTTCAACACTGGACACTGTGTTTTAAGAGGATCTGAGATAAAAGTCTGGAAAAGTATGAGCACTCAGGGTGATGGAAAGTCTGGAAACCATGTTATGTGAAGAACAGTGAAAGGAAGTGGAGATATTTATCTTGGGAAACAAGAAGGATAACTTAGAAGCTGCATGATGCTTGCTTCTTTCTTTATGTGGAAGGCTATAGTAAGACAAGAAAATTGCAACTTAAGCTACTCTCTCTCTTTTTTTTTTTTTTTTTATCCTCACTCGAGGATACATTTATCTTCAGATAGAGTGGGAGAGAGAGAGAGAAATATCGATGTGAGAGAGACACATCGAGTGGCCGCCACCCACTCCACCCTAACCGGGGCTGGGAACAAACAGCAACGAAGGTACATGCCCTTAGCGGGAGCTGAACCTGGGACTCTCTGGTCTGTGGGCCAATGCTCCAACCACTGAGCCAAATCCGCCAGGGCATAACTTAACCTCCTCTTTATCATCACAGAGGAAAGAATTCTAACCAATGAGAGTGGATGCCAGAGAAACCAATTTTGATGAATACACATTAGGCTTTCTGACAATGTCAGCTGTTCAAAGAATAGATCAAGCTGTCTTTTAGAAGGGAAGCATCCTTGATATTAGAAGTTACTCAGCAGAGGTGAGAGAACCACTTGGCAATAGATCAAAGCTGGATCTTGAAGAACTCTTTCAACTCTAGTCTATGATGCTGTGACCTGATAAGGAAAGTAAGGAAGCAGATGCATCAAAAATAATTCCTAGGTTTTGAGATTACAGGCTTTGGAAGAGGTGATATAATAGAGAGACAGAGCCCTGGCCAGTTTGGTTCAGCGGTTAGAGCATTGGCCTGCAGACCAGAGAGTTCCGGGTTCAGTTCCCGCTGAGGGTGGGTACATCGGTTGTAGTTTGTCCCTGGCCCTGGTTGGAGTCATATGGGTGGCAGCCACTCATGTGTCTCATGTCAATGTTTCTCGCTCTCTCTCCCACCCTCCATCCCTCCCACTCTATCAGAAGATAAATGCAAAAATGTCCTCGGGTGAGGATTAAAAAACAAAAAACAACAACAACAACAACAAAAATAGACAGAGTCCAGTCAGTGTGGCTCAGTGGTTGAGCATCGACCCATACATTAAGTCACGGGTTCGATTCCCAGTCAGGACACATGCCCAGGTTGTGTGCCTCATCCCTAGTGGGGAGCATGCAGGAGGCAGTCAATCAATGTTCTTTCTCATTGCTGTTTCTATGACTCTCTCACTTCCTCTCTCTCTAAAATCAATAAAGGGAAAAAAATAGAGACAGACAAGTAGGGCAGAAGAGCTCTTTGAGAGTGTAGATGAGATTTACTTTAAGGAAATGGCAGAACTTCAAATGGTATTAAGAACATCAGCATAAGTGGTTTTGAATCCAGTTAACTTTGTTTTGTTTTGTTTTTCTGGACTTGACACTTATGACCCTGCTCACTGGTTGAAGAATACAAAATTTCATTTCATTAATTATGAAAGTGAAAAGGAAGGAGTGGGAGAAAACAGTAATGTTCACTGAGTTACTCCTAGGCTTTAGATAGATTATTTAGTTTAAACTTCTGAACAACTATTCAGGGTCATATAATTTTATTCCTTTTATAGATGAGGAAACTAATGTGAGAAAAGTTAGTAATTTGTCCACAATCAAACACCTATATTCATTGTATTCCAAAACATAATATCCTTAATATAGAGAATATATGAAAAGCTATATGAAAATTTTAATGTATCACCATTATCACTAAAGAAATAAAACTGTTCTAATAATGTACATACAAATATAAAGGACAGGTCTTTAGGCTTAGCACATATACATATAAACTGCATTTAGAATTACATGACAGAAATCATTCAGACCATAAATTTTGAGTATGTGTCTTTGGTACTGAAAGGCAGGTTGAAACTAAAACATTTATCATAACAGAAATACAAAAGATACAGGAAAGTTGCATCATCTATTGCTACATTTTCTGTAAAGAAATAACTGAGAATCTAGTTATCATATGTAATGGGAAAAAGAAGACTTTCTGGTCATGGAAAAGTATACTCCATTTACTCCAAAAAATGGTAAAGATTAATCTCCACAGTTTATAAATTTATAAGATAATAAACTCTCATTTATCTGAATAAATCTCAAATAACTAGGTTTTCTTACAATGGAGACTTATACCTGCTTATAAAGATGGCTTTCATATGCCCCAAGGTATGAATTATTAAAGAAGACCTCAGTTGCATTTAATGATATATGTTATATACATAAAATCTTTGAAAACTATTTACCTATCTAACCTGATATAAATCAGCCAAATATTAATTTAACTTTTTCTTTTTCTTAAAACAAATTTATATATATCCAGACTTTATATACACACACATGTATGTGTGTGTGTGTGTGTGTGTGTGTGTGTATATGTTCTGGATAAAGAGCAAATACCACCTTTGACCAAAAGCCAATGGTTAAACAGACTTTATCTAGAAGACAATATTTGATCCTAGATTCCAGTAATATTTTGAGGTCATTTATGTTCACATGCAATGGTAAATTAGTACCAGTCAACCTTAAAGAATATCTGGGTAAATACACCCTTTATGCATAGGTTACAGCTATTTGACTTAATCTGGTTTTATAGAAAAATTCCATTATAAAGGCTAGTAACTAAGATATACATATAATTTGAAGATTTAAGATAAAATAAATTAAGTTCACATTTTTCCTAATGAAACTAAATCTGTATCATCTATTGTTACAAATCTCACTATACAAATGTGTAAAAATAATAAAATGAAAACAATGTTATATTATGTTTGAATACCTTATTGACTAGGACCATGACTTTTCCTAGTTCGGATGCCTTTTTCTTCTTGTCCAAGTGATCCTTGGCAATGTACACAGCCACTCTGGTTTTCCCACTCCCTGTAGGGAGGCATATAATGACATTCTTTCCTTCCAAGGCTGGTTGGGCAACTTCCATTTGGTACGGTCTGAGATTCAGTTCTGGCTCAGGGAATACTCTTTCGGCCGCTTTCTCTTCATCTGAAAGAGGTTAAAAGAAAGAAAAATAGGGAGAAAAATAAATAAGAGAATGGGCAACAAAATGACTAAGGCTAGGAAGCCCTCACACTGAACACAGGGCTCTGTGTTTAAAATGCTTTTCATGTATGGTCCAAACCAATTCATTTTCTATTTTCTGCACCAAATGGGCATCAGCTTTGTTTGTATTTGCAGGATACAACGCCAGGCACTCCTCATGGAAGAGGCCTGGGGGTGGGGGTGCAGAGGGAGTGAATTAACAGGATGGATGGAGGACTAAAAGGGGCAACATTCCACAGTCTTTTCAGAGAATGGGCAAAGCCAAGGGCCAAGTACAGAAAGGTGCAAGACTGGCAGTTATACAGCAGTTCTCATGTATCAGCCTTTCCATCTCTGTGGGGCCATTATGCCTTACATGTTTCTTTAGCTCCTCCACCTACAAATCAAGAGAACCGGGTAAGTGGGAACCATCAGTCCTTGTTCAGTATTCCCCCTTACTTTTCATTACAAAGAACATATTACAGCTGATGCTACTTTCCTCCATTTGAAAACTTTGACAACCAAACACCAAGAGTTTGCACATCTATCAATCTATCTAGCTATCTATCATCTATCATCTATCTAAAATATCTAAAAATGGCACCCCAAAATTCCATTTTTGGCCTTTGAACTAACCAGATTAAACAGAAGCAATATTTATGAACAAAGGGAAAACTCCTTCCATACTAACCTTAATTTGTAGATTTTCATTCAACAACAAGAAACAATTTTATTTTAAACCGAATTGTGAGTAATTTTGCTATTTAGTTTTGAATTGTGATCTTTATCACTTCCTTATATGTATGTCTCCACATATTCATATTTTTCCAAAACTCAAAGCACAGTAAATTAAAAATATTTCTAATTAACATAGATTTATGAATTTAAAATATTGATAAAAGTACTGACATATATTAATTTTATAAACATTTGGATAAAATCATTATAGCATATCTTGGTTTAAATATGTTTTCTTTAGAAGTGACCATATTTATAGTAGCCAGGGGAAAAAGGATCTAAAAATGTATAACTCATCATGTGGAATGCAGTAAAATAAATATTATAGCAATTTAAAAGCCTAACTTATGCTTTATGTAATCATAAGAAAAAATAAAATGACAGCGCTTATCAGTATTTCATTACACATGAAGTAATTGTTCTTTCTCTTATCAGTGATCGCAATAAAACTAAGCTAACATAATCCCATTAACTTCAAAAAGGTTGCTGATGGTTCCGTTTCAGCAAAGGGATGATTCTATTTAACTACGTTTTAACTTGTTGAGATAGTTCCATCTGAACAGGTAGGAAAATTCACACCAAATACCACTTAGTAAGAGTCATCTCCTAACCTGGCAGGAAATGTACCTTCTGTATGAGTGAGTAAACACAGATGCAATACATTTAAGTTATCATTGGATCAGCTGAAGATTCATTTACTATGATTTTCAGGAAAAACTCATTCCAGATCACCGACATTTAAAAATATACATTTGCAAGTGTTCTCGCCATGCTTGTTTTGAACTCTACATCCTAAATAGTAATTCATCTTCCATTATATTTATGGAAGTTTCTAATTTATTTAAGATTATCATTTCTCCTCTTGAGTGGCTTTTATAGATTATCAACATTTTAATATTCCATCTACATTATGAGCATTTATCACATAACTTTTCTAAAAGACCCACATCATTTGCAAAGAAAGATGTATTTTAAATTGTGTTTAAACCAACATCCAGAACTTTACCTTTGCCGAATTGCTGTTTGACCTAGGAAGTTTGTGAAAAGATATTAGCAAGTTCTCTCTATTCAATTTCACTCCAGGTATACTTTTGCATAGATTTAAAAAATATATAAAAAAATCTGCTTTCCTCATAACAGCTGCATGTACTTTTAAAAATCATTATTCCCTCCTTTTGTTTTTCATGCTTATTATTAAAGTCTTGGGTAACAAACATTTAAAAGAGAAACTTAGAAAAATTTCCAAAGTCCTTTACCCAGGAATCTAAAACTAAGTTAAATGAGGAGCACATCAATATCACTTATGCATATTAACATTGTGCTAATACATTTAAGAAGTCTTAGACTGTTGAAAGAGCTCGCATGTTCAAATTTAAGTCTAGAATCAAAGTCATGACATGTCGCTGCTACTTAACAAGTTATGTACCATTAATTCATTATGTAGTAACCCTTCACTGGGTGCGTATTATATCCATGTGATCTCAAGAATACAGTCCTTGTCCTCAAGGACTTCAGAGTCTAGGGCACTATACTGCTGCCACTAAAAGAATCTGGCTATTAGAGAGACAGTTCAATATAATAGTCCACATTTTTGAGTCAAGTCTAAGAAATTCGATGGGTGTCCCCAAGTTTAAAAGAGAAGCACAGAGTGAATATGGAAATAATTAGAGTTGGATTCATTGTGAGAATAGCATCCAAAGGAGAAGAGCTGGGTGAGTGCTAAATATTCAGCCTGATTCTTGCCTTATCACATCCTCTGACATAGGGATGGAAGAATTTATCCACATAAGCAATGAACAGAGAATTTTCTCTTTTCTGTCACCAGAAGGAGAGAACTGGACTGGTGTCAATGATCCAGGAGCCAATTTCCTGTATATATATATATATATATATATATATATATATATATATATTTTTTAATGTTTGGGTTTTGTTTGTTTGTTGTTGGTTTCTTTTTGGCTCTCTTTGAAAAGCAAAATCAATTAAATGCAATAATTAAAATGGTATTTAAAATATGCACAGGCTTTGTATAACTTTGTGCTCTTCCTCTACAATAAATATTGATTAAAGACCTTAAAATTATACTATACCATATAAATGGTCAAAAAATGAAATCAAATAGGGCTTAAATAATAACATTCTATTGGAACTACACCATGTGGCAAATTTCATTCTCACATTGATTTTGACAGCTGAGTTATTCTTGGAGAGAAAAGGTCTGTCACTGCATGTGTTTGAAATTGAAAAAGTACTCCTTTACCTATAGTATGTAACCACAAAAAAACACGCCATTCCAGCTGGACAAATATTAATAGGTATTACCTTGAAATAGTAAGGAAACACTTTCTACATATCAGGCCAATGTGTATTCTAAAAAATTTGCTACTTTGTGTTAGGCAGTGTATCTCTCTGAAAATGAGAAACAGAAAAACAAAATGCCTTCCATAGTATAATTGGAATATTTAAACTTTGAAAGCACCATTAATTATCTTTTACTATGACATAATACCTCACAAAGAAACGTAATGTTATGGTATGGGGTCATGCCCATGATCCTCCTGGCCCATATGTGACCTTTGAAGGTAGACAAAGGACATGTGCAAGAACATCCCTTTGATGTCAGCCTCAAAGGTCAAAATATGATCCCAAACACGCAATGCTTTTCAGTGATTCAATATGTGTTTAACAATTAGCATTTCATCTAAACCTTATTTTAAGTGATTTCTATTTCATTCTATATCATGTATTTAAGGAAAAGGAATGTCTTAATTTTATCATTTCAGAATTCTACTACAGACCATGCAAGGCAATTCTTTTTCCTAAGCACTGACCCTATCTAAAACATCAGTGGATATCCTTTGAAACTGTGTTTGTCTTCACATGTATTTGCCTTTGAAAATGTATTTGCTTTTTAAAAGTAGGTTGCATTTAGATTTATCACGTTTCATGCCACATTGAGGACTGAAAATCAGTAAACAGTTACATTTGCTAAGAGCTCAAACTAGACAAAATGCACTGTACATAGAGGATAGCCATTAAATGTGTATTGAATGAATGAATGTTGTTGAAAAGCCCTTCTGGAGACAAATAAAAATTAGGATGAGGTCCAGAAGCTTAAAACTACCCATAAAATGTTACATATTAGCTAGAGTATATTTTGAATTCTAGGATCAATAGCATTTAATCAAAAATTTATAATTAGATTAAACAACTGTATAACAAGCATACAAAAAATAAATAAATATAATTAACAGAAATAAACACATGACAAGAACTTAATAAACAATGACCAAATTGAACAGAAAGTGAATTATCCCTTTTTAGTTAAAATTAATGTTATGACTGAAATTTGGTGAATTGGGCTTCCTCAAACCAACTTGTTACAAGGGATTTGAAGTGCTATTGAGAGAAAGGACATTTAAATCAAAGAAGTGATATACTTCCATTTGAAAGCTTTTAGGGCAGATGAGCATCTTATATAAATTATTTTGACCCTTTAGACCTACTGTAGATCTAAATTTCTATAATTCTGAGAATGCAGGACAATCTGAAGTACACAATATTTTCTAAGTGTTTACTGTAATTTAATCACAAAACAAATACAGATTAAAGTAATTTGTTTCTTAATGTTCCAGTTTTCTACTGCTTCTTAGCTGGCCACATTGCCAAAGCATTTTTTATTTGTGATTTGTCAAATAATGATACATTTCAAACATACAAATACCGAAAGGTGTGTAACAGACATCCGAGGACCTATCACCCATTTTTAACAGATGTTAACATTTAAGCTCAGTAATAATGATGGAAATACACGTTCCAAGAACAGAAAGAAGTGATTTGAAATTGATCAGACCAACACAAGTTAGGAAATCGGCACTCTCATTTATTTCTGGTGGGATATTCAACTCCTGTGAAGAGCCATTTGGAAAACACCAAGTAAAGTTCTCATTTAGTGACAAAAATATTTTGTAGCTCTACTCCTATGCAACACATATTTTTACAAATTGGAACTCTTTAACTGTATATGTAATTTCTAGTTTTTCATTGAAAGAAGAACTCTTGAAGTTTTTATTTTAAATGTATTTTAATTTAAAAATTTCAGGTTTGGGAATAAATGTACCAAATTACATGCAGAATTTAAAACAGTCAAATTAATTGAAACAGATTTCATAAATACACTAGATAACATGATGCTAGGGAACGTGGCATATGCCAGACCGAAAAGCTATGTACTGGATCAAAATTAGAGAGCCTGATTCTAAGACTTTTGTAAGTTGTACTTTTAAAGGAAGTCAATGGCAAAGTTCCAAAACTCCTTCAACTGTAGAAAAGAATTGCTTTAATTGCATAAATACATTAGGGAGGGTATGAACAGCCCCCATGCTTTCCACTATATGGCGTCTTATTTCACACTTTGTAAGGTTTACACAACAGTTAGGCAGTACCTGAATCACTTCCCATGGAGCCTGAATCACTGCCCATGTTGCTGTTATGTCCAAGACTCTCATCTAAGCAGTTGACACTTCCTTCTGCCAAACTTGTGTCTGATTCTGCAAAGGAAAACATTTTAAAATATTTCTAAAATATTTCTGAGAATAAACATATTTTAACTACACACCTCTACAGCACACAGTACATACAGTTCAGCGTGAGGAGCGAAGGCACACCCAATAATTATGCGCAAAAGGTAAGAGTTTCTGGCAAGCTGCATTTAAAAACTCCACTGTGGATGCGGAGCTGCCGGGTAGTGAATCAAATGCATATATCTACTTAAGGTACCATACGTCCAAAATGAGAGCTAATGCAAATTTGTAAGGATTTATTACTCTTGTCATCCCCACCTTCACGTACATGTTGTCCAAGAAAACATCTAGGCTTGATAATGTCATTTAAACAAAAAATATCCTATAGAAACCATTGAGTTATTTTTCACATAAAATGGTAGGTAATAAAGTAAAAAAAAATTAATAAAGTATATAGATTTACTGGTTAGTTATGAAACTAGCAGTTCAGTAACAAACATAACTTTAAAATATTAAAAAGAATTTGCTCAGGAAGAATATCATTAAAGCCTGGCACTGCAGTTGTACGAGAGTATATGTAAAGTTGTAAAAAAAACTTTTTTTTTTTTTTTTTTTTTACTATAATTAAACTAAGCGTCTATCAAAGGGTTACAGTTAATGAGTGGCAAGGGCACCCCCCTCATGTGTTGATCCTAATTTTCTGTGCTTACTACTCAGTATCAATTCCTTTTGGAAATCTTCCCTTCAAGGGAAGACTTCATCCCCTTACAGTTTATTTCCAAGGATTTTTGCAGTCTGGTCCTCAAGGATCAGAACTATTGCTAAACTGATAACAATAAATGAAAAGTGGTTACAAGTGTTGGCTTTGGAATCTGAAGGATCGGAGAAATTTGCTGTTGCAGTTACTCTGTGCCTAACTTCCCCTTATTTAAAAGAGGCTAGTACATCTTATCTCATAGGACTGGATGACTATTCAATAATAAATACAGGTACGATCAGCACTTAGCACTAGAACTTAATTGCTGATGATTGGAAAATAAAATAAAATTCAAGTATTTGGTGTATTACTAGGGCAAGAGTTTCATTTTATAATGTTCTTCGTACAATTAATAACATTTCCTAATACTTATACTTCTTAGATAGTTATTACTTCATGCTAAAGCTGCCAAATGCACTAAATAAATTATATTAAAGTAGCCTTCAGGCTGGAAATAGTAATGAGTGAAGAACAGACACACAGTATGTTATTGAGAAAACTTCTCTGGAAGAGATAGCATACAACTCCCTAAAACTACGGGTACCTTCTCTTTCTTTAGCCAGTTATATTTTCAGAGTCAGGTGTATTGCGGTATAATTTACACACTGTAAATTACTCTTTTGGGGTGTACAGTTTGATGAGTTTGACAAACGCATATAGTTTTGTCATCACCATCACAATCGAGATTTTGCCATCATCTGAAAAGTCCCTTCAACCCCTTTTGTAGTCAGTTCCCTCCTATCCCCTGGCAGTCACTGACTTGGTTTCTGTCCCTATATTTTGTCTTTTACAGAATGTAATATAAATAGAGTTATGCACTATACAGCCTTCATGTTTGGCCTCTTTAACTTAGCACAGGCAGTTGGAGATGCATCCATGTTGTTGTTTATATCAGTAATTTGCTCCTTTTTATTGCCGACTAGTATTCCATTGAGCATCTGTGATATCTTTGCAACCTGGATAAGCCTATTTAGCTTGGGAAATATGGAATTACAGCCAATGCCAATCAAATATGTGGGGTATTCTTCTTGAAAGGTAAAAATAAAGCTAATAAGACATTTGTAGAAAAATTCTCAATGGACACACATACTGTTTAAATACATTAGCACAACATAAATATACTAATGTGAAAATACTGTGCTTATCAGTTGTTGTAGATTAGCTCTAAAACTCAGATTTGAGGAATCCCTTATGATCACACGGGAAAACCTGTACATCTCACTGAGAGATTTTAATTATGGCACTTTGCAACTCCCAAAGGTATGCCTTGCTAGAAGCTCAGAGGCGAGTGTGGGATAGAACTGTCAAGTAGAACCGTGTTTTGGGCAGATGTACTGATGAAAAGAGAATATGATTTGTAAGAAAAAGGCAAGGTGTAAAATGAGATGAGGAAAATGTCACTGCAAGGATAATTCTCGATCTTAGAAATACAGACCACGATTTCTGAGGCAAAAAAAAAAAGTAATTTTTGACATGCTTTTCACTTGCTGTATTAAATGTGGTACTGAGAACTGAAAACAATACCAAAAATACTGAGAAATACTAACAAACATTATCTAAAATCTGACACTGTAGCTTTAAGTTTCTGACTAAGTGTAATCCAAATGGAAATTATATTTGATTTCTATTTTATTTTCTAATCGCTAGCAGTTAAACCATAATCTTAAATCTGCTCGGTATTAAGTGTAAAGTCAAGATTTTCCGACTTGGGGAACCTATTTAATGCAATGCACACAAATAATTAGTGAATATTAAAGAAAGCTGCTACCAAAATTAGGGTATTATTAATTAAGTTCATTATTTGGTTAATTTTTCATCTGACAAATAAATCTGCAATGTGTCACTGAGCTCTGTGATTTCACAGATGTAATGTAAATTACATTTTAAACTCCCAGCATCCTAAGTGGTACATGTCCATTACATCTCAGTTTTATAGGTAAGAAACCACAGCTCAGAGAGGTTAAATCGTTTAACCAGATCACACAGTTAGAATAGGGCAGAGTTGGAAGTCCCCCTTATTCCAGTGTCTTTTACCCAGCACTATACATGGCTGATAAACTGCATGAGGCTTTGTAAACAAGCAGATCCTTCTAAGTAAAATCAAGTTGTTTTTTTTTAAGCATCTAGACCTTTTCATTGTAATGTCAAATTTTCCATCAATCCTGAAACAGCTTGTCTTTACAAGAAAAGTTTGGTTATTTTATTTTGCTAATATTTCTGATTCCATCCATAGACTTTCGTTTACATTTAAACATCCACACTTATGTTGAAACCTTTTCTGCACACAAATAAAAGAAGAATGTTCTGTTGACAAAATTCATTGCAATAATTCTGCTAGAGATCATTACGGAAGTGAAAGGGAATATACAGAGGTCTATTTGTCATTGCAAGGATATAAGTGTCCAGTTTCTCAGCACAAAAATAATTCGTGTCCTAGGCAGCAAATTCTTATGCATTTGATATATTTTTTATTTCACAGAAATATAAGTACTATAGGAATTAACTTTAATAATGAATGAAAATATATTGTATCTCCCATAACATTGAGAATGTCTTCCCCATAGATTTTCTTCCAGCATTCATTTTTAAAAATCATCACACACACACACACACACACACACACACACACTCACACACACACACACACACACACAGTGCTTATGTGATGTCAAAATTAAAACAACTTACTGGGTTTATAAGCCAAGGATTCCTGCAATTGACTATATAGGAATATCTTGCTTCACTCTTTATACTTTTTACAGTATGTCAAGCTGAACTGATGTCCTAATGAATAAAGTCATGTGTCTATATTTTAAGATAGATCAGATAAAGTACAGTCAATTGGAGACGGGGTGTCCCCGTGAAAAGAACACATGCTATGGAGTCAGACAGATCGGTCTCCAGATCTACACTCAGCCACTGCTAACAAGTGACTTAACCTTTAAAAAAAATTTTAATATAGATAGTACTTTCTACTTTTTCATTTATTGTGAGAATGATTCTGTTAGATTAAGGAAATGAATCATGAAGAGAAACAAATCTTACATTCTCGTGAAGCTGCCACTAAAGAGACTTTGAATATCCGAGTTTTATTACATAATGTATTTAGTTAACTTTTATATAGGTCTTATTTCCTCTAGGGAAAATATCAAAGCTAGTTATGAAACAGGTCAGAAAATGCTGGTTATTTCTGTTAAAGAAAAGCAATCATTCTTATCAAACTCTACTGAAATAAAGAAAAATGATACTCATCCAGTTAAAAGATAGGATTTTCTGTAATGATTTTGTAAACAACACAAAAAAGAACAGCTCTGCTTAAGATAGTGCGTGTCTAGGAAAAATGGCCTCATTTTGCAACCACAACTCGAACATTTTACTAATAAGGCAGAAATATTAACTGGAATCTGAGAAATTTCATATTTAACATCCTTTGGGCCTTAAATACTTTAAAATATTTTTAAACCATTTAGAAACCAAAAATATTGAAGTTTAAAAAAAATTCAATTGAAAACCTCTTGATTGAAAGCCTTTTTAGATCTATTTCAATGTAAAGTATGCCCTCTGCTGGAAAATGCTATTATAACAATTAGTTGATAAGTGACATTGTTTTTTCAACCTAAGACCTAAACCTCATTAGTTAGGTAGGATACGAATTGGTTGTCACTTCTACTCCTGCCAGGTAGTGTCTCTCCTGTTTTCAGCCTTGACGCATTTCTTAGTCCACAGAACGGTTCTCCTTTCTTACCCCTGGTCTCAGGCTGAGCACTCCGCTGCAAAGTGGTTTTGCCTTACAGCAGGGGGCAGTGCAAGGGGCCCTGTGCCCACGGAGAGAGAAGGCACCAGCAACTCCCTGTGCCCACGGAGAGAGAAGGCACCAGCAACTCCCTGTGCCCACGGAGGGAGAAGGCACCAACAACTCCCTGTGCCCACGGAGGGAGAAGGCACCAGCAACTCCCTGTGCCCACGGAGGGAGAAGGCACCAGCAACTCCCTGTGCCCACGGAGGAGAAGGCACCAGCAACTCCCTGTGCCCACGGAGGGAGAAGGCACCAGCAACTCCCTGTGCCCACGGAGGGAGAAGGCACCAGCAACTCCCTGTGCCCACGGAGGGAGAAGGCACCAGCAACTCCCTGTGCCCACGGAGGGAGAAGGCACCAGCAACTCCCTGTGCCCACGGAGGGAGAAGGCACCAGCAACTCCCTGTGCCCACGGAGGGAGAAGGCACCAGCAACTCCCTGTGCCCACGGAGAGAGAAGGCACCAGCAACTCCC